AATTATAGCTTCTTGAGACGAACAAAACTTATATCCAATTGCACCTAGTATCTCACATTTATCTAAGATATAAATTATTATAATTTAAATAATAAAATTATCATGGAGTTTGTAACAAAACAATTCAAATTATTGGGGGTAATAAATACTATGCCAACAGAAGAAATCTCGTGCTTAGTGCCAAAATCAGACCAATTAATTAAATAAGTACAATATATTTTGTTTTTATTAAAAAAAAGCCACTTGAAATACGAAAATATTAAAACGGGAGGGCAAAAATCAGCGGCAAAGGTGGGCCCACACTGCTACAGCCAGCCGTCGAATGGCAATCGCCGTTAAGTCGCCGTCGGGCATTTATTGTGGTAACGTGACAGTTAAGTCAGGCAGCCGCGGGACGTTAGCTGACAGACGGAAAACGTTTACTTTTCTGCAGTGTTCACTGAAATTGTAATTATTATGAATAATTTGATTTGATGTAACAAATGTTAACACAACCCGAAAGTTTCAGACAGAAAAAAACATCTTGTATGGCGGGGTTGTGGCGAGAGCGGGTGCAAATCAGTTCGGATCATTGTTCGCCTATATTTTTAAAGTTCGACCGAAAGTGTACGGTTTCGCTCGTAGAATATGACAAGTAAAATCGTATTCCAAAAGATCAAATAATTAATATATCAAACTTTATTTATATGATCGAAAATGAGATAGATTTACTAACTAAAAAATTATAATCAAAGGAGATAAAGCAACAATAAAGAACTAGCAAAAACACGTGAGAAAATATATAAGAACAATAGATTTTAAGACGTTGGGTTCAATTAACAGTTATGATTCTTCAAAAATATCACAACTAAATGTTTTATTTATCTACCTTATAAGATGATCACAAATTTAGCATATCGTCCCTCTCGAGATCGATAAAACCGTAGATTAAATCACATATATTAGCGTCTTCACTCAACACATGCAATTCAACTCCAAATAGAACAAAAGATCTAATATACTCACAACGACCTACTAATATCTCGATTTAAGCAAGTAAATTGTATCAAATATTTAAAGACCTAATATTAAACTCATCTCTTGAATTATGAACAATATTGTCAAACATGCAAAAACATTGGCCAAGTGCTAAACATGAAATAAAAACAAAATATTTGAATAGTGTTCAAAAGAAAGACAATTAATTATAAATAAATCATCAAAATCTCAACATATTAATCTACTATCAAGTCTTAGAATCAAATAAATCTAGCCACTCATGTTTGAATTCAAATACATAGACATATTAGAATCAACATGATCAATAAAAGTTCAAAAGGAAAGAAGAAATAAAAACTAAGAATTTTGTCGATCTTTCAATCTCTTTGAATCCTTCGTAGTTGATCCTCTTTTTGACTCCAAATTGCTTCTCTTGTGTGTTCTAGGGCTCTTCTCCTTCGTGTCTCACGTTCTCTTTTTTCAAAATAAGGTAAATATGTTTTTTTATATGTCCAAAACCCTTCTCCTTATCTAAAAAGGCAAGCTTTAAAAATCTGCATGCGCGCGCGACACGACCAGTCTGCCCGTGTCGCCGTCCGTGTCGCAGCCCGTGTCAGGTCCCTGGGCTTCGAAATTTCTCTTTTGAGGTGACACGGCCTCTGACGCGGGTATGGTGCCCGTGTCACTGCCCATGTCACAAATCTGCACTCTACTTTTCACTTGTTTCACTCGTTTTTTCCATTTTTTTTCATCTGTGCATCAATCTTTCATCATCCTGGGGTTTCTAAGTACCCTCCATGCACCTTCAATAGCCAAAAGCTCTACAAATATGTGTAAAATATCTACAAAACAAGCACGTGTAATACCTTTCCAACAAGATATAAAATTAAAGTACAATAATGCAATTTGTACGCCAATAATGCAATGAATAAGCTCTAGATACTATATAAATATGGTGTAAAATCACACATGAACAGCCATTCGGTTCACGGGCGCATAGCGAATGTTAAGTCAATGTTTGACTCGAACTTGGTCAAACTCAAGTTCAAGTAATTCAATCGAGCGAGCGAATCGAGCCTCGCGCATTATTTCAATATTCTCTCGTAAGTTCTACGAATTGCTCAACTTTTTATTTACATAAATGTCTCTAAGCCGTGAGCGAGTCGAGCCGAGCTCGAGCTTAGGGTGATGAGCTTGAGCCCTTAATGAGCTGAGCCGAGCCGAGCTGGTCTTGTTAAATAAACGAGGATGAAATTGAACTCTCGTTCGACTCGTTTTTTCACTAATAACGAGCAGCGTTCGAGTCTTAACAAGTTGAATTATAGTGAAGTACTAAAGCATATAAAATTTATTTTTCGAGTCTTATAGAGTCGAGTCGAGCTCAACTCGTCGACCAAACGAGCTTTAAATGAGCTGATAAATGGATCGAACCGAACTCGAGTCTTAATGAGAAAAGCTCGAGCAGAGTTGAACCAGACTCGTTTAATTTAACAACACTAATTATCTCACTTGATTTAATTATCAATAATAAAACAACAATGGTAAAATTGTCTAGTAGATTAAAAATATTGCTTTTATACTTAACGTTTAGTTGCTAAAATTTGAGTCGAATTCAAACCTTGTCGAGCTCAAGATTTTTTTTTCCACAAATCGAGTCGAGGACCATTTTACATGACTTGTTGAGCTCGAACACTGAAGTGCACTCAACAAGGTTCATGCTCGACTCGCTCTTTAAGGCTCAAGTTCGACTCGATTCGTTTAATAAATGTGTCAAACTTGAGCCCATTAAAATCACGTTTAGTTAATTAGTCATACTCGACTTGTTAAGACTCGAAAATAATAATTTTTATATAACTTTCTATAATTTTACTCTCGTTAAGCCTTGAGTTCGACTTATTAATATTTATAAAAGAGACGAACTCAAGCTTGATTATTGTTTCATTTAGTTGACAGCCGAGCTTACCTTAGCTCGTTTACAGCTCTACACGACGAGTCTTATGACCGCGGACAACCAACAATTCTTGCACGCGCAATTTCTTGAGTCCCGACCAATTCCACAGTCACGTGAGCCCCGCGCGCCCAAAGCATGAACTTATTATGAATTCTAAACTCTCGTTAGCCCGAGTGCTTGCTTGTGAGCTCGTTTGAGCCCACTCGCCCTCCAATTCTAGTTAACTTCAAGCTATTTACACTCCATATTTGATACATTCTAGTTCATTTATTACTTAAAATTTATTTTTTTATTCACTCCAAAATGGTCATGAAAAAAAATTCCAAGTCTTTCATTTACTGAATACATAATCGTAAAATTAGTATAAAATCGTTTTTTTCTTACACAACTAAGAGTGCTCTTAAACATATTTACATTGGAGAAAAAAAAAATATAAGTGGAAGAGGAGTTAGATAATAAAATATTAAAATAATAATTGATTGTTATGAATATGTTAATGTGTAATTTTTACATACATGTGTAGCAATTGTTGATAAGAGAGAATAATATTAAAGAAAAATAAACATCTATATATTTTTTAATTGGTTGAATAAAATTAAATATAATGGAGTTCAGTATATACCAAATTCCACCCTCAAATAATATAGTTGGTTGAGATTTGGACTAAGAACAAACACATTATAAGTGAAAATCCCTCACAATTTACAATCATCATTCGTCAATCTCTCAATTTTGAATTTTACTACTACACGTTGAATAAATTATTTTTGTGTTTTTTCGTGGTACCGTACATAGGAATGCGAGATGTTGAAAGTCATATTTAGGGTTGCACACGAATCGAGTCGCTCGCGAGCGCTTGAGTCAAAACTCCGTTCGAGCGGCTCGAGCACGAACTCAAGTCGAGCTTGAGCACATAATTTGTATGTCGAACGATATGAGATATATGTAAAATTACTAAAACACCCATTATATATATATATATATATATCATAATATTATTGCTTGAAAATTTTCGACTAAACTCGAGCCGAGCTCGAGCAGTTTAAATTCGAGTCGAGCTCGAACTCTTGTATCTTTTGATCGAGTCGAGCTCGAGCTCTTTTTATTAAATCGAAATCGAGCAGCTAAAAAAAGATATCAATCCTACTCGATCGATAAGACCAATGTTTGGCTTGACTCGACTCGACTCAACAGAATTCACATTGGACTATTGTGCTCGTTTAAATATTGTGTTGATACCCACAAATGAGATAATTCATAATTTATTAAAAAATGTATAAGATTTTTGCATTTAAATTAAATTGTGATTTGTGAAACCATATTAAATAATTGATGGTAGATTCATCAAATTTGATACTATTTTAATGTGGGTAAATAAATCATTGTAACAATATCACAAGCATGCCAATAAATAAAATAATTCCAAAAAAACTTTGGGTTAATTTTGAAATTTCTGACAATCTCGTAGCAGATGAATTTGTCTTTATTAAGGAATCAAGTGTCTTTTTTCACTTAAATTTCAGAAAAACTGAAAGGCACCAAACATACTGTAGGTCATGATTACACAACAAAGAAAAAAAATAAAATAAAATAAAATTGAAAATATATTATTTTCATTAAGCATAAAGACAAAAGCTTTAATACAAAATAAATTAAGCTACCGTTATTTATTATTTTGATCTTTATTATATGAACACTGCTTTTATAATTTAAATTAAGCTGATTTTTCATTAAACCCATAAGAACTTATTTGTATAAAGTTATTCTGTTCTGGCTGATTAATTCAAATGTTAAAAAAAAAAAAAAGGTATACAAAAAGAAAAGTAACTAAAGACACTTAGAAAGAATGAAAATAACTATACTGAGGACAATCTTTTGAATCCAAATTTTATTCTTGAACATTTCAAAAATTCAAATTTTGGAAAATTGTGTGTTCATTAAGCTACAATATATAGTTATTGCATAGTACCTATTGGTGCTATATGGTCATTGTATATAGGGTTTGCAAACGAGTCGAGCGGCTCACGAGCTGTTCGCGAGCGCTCAGTCAAAGCTCGACTGGAGTTTGAGTTTGACCGAACTCGAGTCGAGCACGAATGGCTCGAGCACGAACTCGAGCCCATATTTTGCATTGTCGAGCAACTCGATATATATATATATTAAATTACTGAAATATTCCTTATATATATTTAATAAGTACTAAATAGTATAACACAAGTACTTAATGGTAATTTCACTTAAAAAAAATTGAGCCGAACTTGAGCATTTGATATCGAGTCGAGCTCGAGTTGTTGTATTTTCTTACTGAGTCGAGCTCGATCAGCTTAAAAAAAAAATCAATCCTGCTCAATTCGGCTCGGCTCATTTGCAGCCCTAATTGTGTATATATTAGCCATATAATGAGTTCATTATGTTCTTAATTTCTTTCTTTTTTTTTAAAATCTCATTAGTAGGGGCCATTTTTATAGACTAAAAGATTGTTACAATTTTTAACAAATATGCATAACAATAGACACAAACAATATTTAATCAAATATTTTAAATATGTTTTTTAAATTAAAATCAAACAACAAAAATTCTATTAGATATTATATGAATAATATTATACATGTGATATTATTCATTCATGAGCAAATCTAAGATGTTAGCCAACTTATTACTCTTGTGGGAGATTCTACGGTCTTGTTACGGAAATATTCCGTCGGGATTTGTAACCGTTAGATCAACTATCCATGACGGTTGCATGATGATCTATAGGGGTGAAAGCGGCGTGGATAATTTCCGCATCCGATCCGATCCGAATCCGCGTTACGAGGATATGGATTAAGGTTTTAGATATCCATGAGGATATGGATAATCCGCATCCGATTGTTGCGGATATGGAGGAGGATATGGTATTGGCAATATCCGGTGGATATGGATTATCCGACAAATTTAAAGTGGATTATCCGACCTTTATAAGAGGATATCTGATTATTTTACATAGCCCAAAATAATATAATCCCGGTCCAACTAGCCCACACAAACCATATAAAATTACTCATCGGCAGACACCCTAAAAGCTAAGGATACGACGACTGGTTCCACAATCATCAGCATTTAGTGCTGGAGGGCGTGTTATTGATCCATTCCGCAGTCGTCTTGAACCAGAGATGGTGGAAGCATTGATTTGTACCAAAGATTGGGTGGCTGCATCCAGAAAAGGTACCGGTTTTATTGTTTCTCATTTTGCCTTATATTATCACAAAGAATATTAATTACTTAGTAATATATATCTATATATACAATTGGTATAGATGACAAGAAAGGGGTTGGATCTATTCTCAATGATCTAGAAGTTGCAGAAACCCTTATTGCTAATTTGACACTCGAGGATCTTGAGGGCAAGGTATGACTTTTTTCTAATATTATAAGGAATGTGAAATATTGTTGGGTACTTTTACAAAGTATTTGTTATAACTGAAAATTGTAGGAAAAACAATCGCCAAGTGATGGCGAGGGAGAAGAATAAGATTTGCTGAAGTCATATTTCGGGTACTAATAATATGGCTGGAGGTATCTTTTTATATATACTCTCCAAATACATGCAAGCTGGTGCTTCTTGGCGTCACTTAGACACTTAGTAATCTAATAATATGTGTTAACAGATACTTTAATACTTCACATTACAGGGTCAAGCAAGGATGTTGTCTACCAAAGTCAAGAGGAGTGTAGAATAAAGGAGAATGGAAGCACTTTTTCTTTAATGAAGCTTTTTATTTGCTGCGACGTACTTGTTTCAAACTTTATGTTGAGAATGAACGAACTTGTAATAATTTAGCTTAGCTAGTTGTGAACTAGCTATGTACTTGGCTCGTCTCGTTAGCTAAGTACCTAAGGAACTCAATGTTTTGTGTTCTTTTTAATTTTTCTTGCAACTTTGCTTTATTAATTATTATTCGTCATAAAGAGTATAGTAGAAGCATGTATTATCCGACTATATAAATCCGCATCCGATCCGCTTCCGCTCCGAATCCGTACCATCTTTGATATCCGAAACAATCCGCATCCACATCCGTATCCGCCCAATATCCGCTCCGCTCCAAATCTGCAAAAATAAAATGGATTAGGATGTGGGAAAGGCATTATCCGCACCGCACCGCACCGTTTTCATCCCTAATGATCTAACAGTTACAAATTTCGATGTAATGATTCTGTGACGGGACTGTAGCATTTTTCTGCTCTCTTGTAATCAACACCGTTTTATCTTCCATTAATTATGTGCATTATGGCCTAATTTACATCGTGTGAAAGTTTTGTAGTACCAAACATTAAATGAGTGGAATCTTTTTGAATATAATAAATCATAAAATATAAAAATGAGCAATCAATTTGTCATACGATCTACGAGCAAGTATCTCTATTTATATTGGCTACCGACGACCATTACATAGTTGAATTCTTTTAATAATCTCCCAAGATTTACATGTTAGCTAAAATTTTTCAACTCTATAAATACTGATATATTATTATTATTATTATTATTATTATTATTATTATTATTATTATTATTTTTCAAATAACAATTGATGTATTTATTGTCCATATAATTTAAATTATTAATGCTTGCAAATTAAGCTCCAAAAATTGACTGTACAGTGAAATAAATCACTAGTCACAAATAACACGTAGGTTAGAATAAAATTTTGAATTCTTATGGCAATTATACCAAATTACTTTACCAACATTTAGTGTGTGTTTGGTAAAACTAGCTGATAAGCTAGCTGATAGCTGATAAGCTAGCTTATAGCTTATATGTGATAAGCTAGCTTATAGCTTATAGCTTATGACTTATAGCTTATAAGCTAGCTTATATGATAAAAGTGTTTGGTAAAAGTAGCTTATAAGCTAGCTGAAATGAAAAATTCAACGAGCTTATTTTGAAACGCTACCTAAACAAGCTTATCAAATAAGCTCGAGCTTTTTAAATAAGCTCGTCCTACCAAACAGGGCTTATTTAATACAGGAAGCTTATAAGCTAATCAAATAAGCTATAAGCTAGCTTATATGTCATACCAAACATACCCTTAATAAATGTGTATGATTTGTGGACCAGTACAAAACTGCACACAATAAATAAAAATATTGAAATTTGAAAATTTTAAAATCAAACCAATTTATTAAAAAATAAATAAAAAATTTCTACAATAAAATGTAATATAAGTATATAACTCAACTGAATTGCACAATTTTTTAGTTTGTTTTTTCGTTGTTCTCTTCTCCCTCTCTATCTTTTCCCCTAAAGTTAGTTCGATTTGTGCGAAGCCTAACCATATCGAGAAAATCAAAACTTAGGGCTTGATTGTTTATGAAATAATTTGTTCAATTTGAATTATTTTGATTAACTATAATTAATTTTAAAAAAAGGTGGTATGGTTAGTTGTAGTGGAATTTTAAGAATATATTAAAATAATATTTAAAATAAAATAATTAACATTGATTTAATGTAAAAGTAAGAGATAAATGATTAGAAATGATAGGTAGTTAAAATTATGTGAGTGGATGAATAGTGAATTAAAGTTGATGTGATGTGTAATAATGATTGGTTTGTATTATTTAATTATATGAATAATATTAAAGATAGTATGGTTGAGTTAAAATTGAGTTAGATTTTGAGTTGAAATAAAAGTGAATAAATTATTTTGTAAACAAACACCCCCTTAACCTTTTGCAAAAAAAAATATCCAATCTGCAATTCTGCATCGCAATTTTCATTTTTCACCACATGAAATCCTATTCGAAGTTGATATACATTAACATAATTGAATCAATTTGCATCAAATTGCATGATTCGACTTAATTTTTTGATTTGAACTCAATGTTGCTCAACCTATAAATTGCTAACCTTAGTAGATAATTAAATATGAGGATGATTGATTAGTATTGACATATTGACTATTATTAAGGAATGATGTTTTTTTTTTTTT